GACCTGAAACAACGCGGCGCCTACAGCGTGCCCGATCTGGTGCTGATGTGGCCAACATGTGACGAACCGGCAGCAGGGACCCGGGACAACGGCGGCAGCGGACGGCAAGAAATCCACCTTGTCGAGGTCAAGTACTGCAGGGACACCGAGCCGGAGCCCGAGAGAGCGCGGGCCGCAGCACAGCACGCGGCACTCATGCAAACGCTCGAGAGGTCAGCCACACCCCAACGGGTGCACTTGCACGCCATCGTCCTCGGCGTCGGCGGCACTATTTTCAGAGACACCGCGGCGACGCTGGCCACGCTTGGAGTGCCCCACGCGCGGGCACAACGCCTGCTAAATGACCTGCACACGCACGCGATCACGGCCCTGGCGGGCATCATGGCAGCAAGACAGGCCGCCAGGCGGCAGTCGCAGGGCGCAACGCAAGGGAACGCCGCTAGCCGCAACCACCGCACAAGGCGGGGCAGGGGCGTGACGTGACCCGGCCGCGTGGCCGCCTTACACTCGGTGGGGGCGTGGGGCTTTCGCCCAAAACACGCCACCCCCCTTAACCACGCCGCGACGTATGGCGCGCGCGTAGTCTCTCTCTCTCTCTCTCAAACAGTGGAGGAATTTGGTGTCGAGCGCTCCTTGGGGTGCTCTTGGGCGCAGTGCGTGGTGCACCTCCACACCAGCTTCAAGTTGGCACGTCTGTCGAGGTTCTACCGAGCAAAACACGCGGCAAAACAAGCGGCAGAGGGACGAGACTGCAAAACAAAAATCTCGCCGCCTGGGATCGAACCAGGGACCTCAGGATATCAGCAATCACCTTACAGTCCTGCGCTACTACCAACTACAGCCCCTGGTCTGGGGCGCCTCCGCAGCCCTCCCCGCTGCCGTCGGCGGCAGTGGTGCTGCTGCTGCTGCTGCCTTTGCCGGAGCCGGCTCCAGTGCTGCCACTGCCGCCGACGCTGGCCGCTCCATTGGTGGCGCCCACGGCAATGCTTCTCCTGCCGCCGCCGCCGCTGCTGCCCCCACTCCCGCTTCCGCTGCCCGCTGGCAGGGGTTTGAGCAGCTCCTGAAACGAGGCCGGGTCCAGGCCCTTTCTGCAGGGGGTGGCGTTGGTTTTATTGAGGAGGGGGTTGATTGCGCTTTGGCGGTTGCGCCTGTGCCAAGGAAGCAAAGCCCTTCGTTGTGCCTTTCAGAGGCACCAACAGCCACCAGCTGCGCACTTGTGCTGACCTGGCGGTTCACCCCAACAAGCGGCGGGCGTGGAGAAAGCAACACAAAAAGCGCGCGCCGCCCCAGCGCGCACCGGGGTGGGTCAACGATGACTGTGTCTGCGCCCTCCAGCCACGCGGCGGGGTCGTCGCCGGCGGAGGCGATCACCAGTGACACCCGCGCCGCCACGTCCTGAGGGGGGGTGTGCGTGTGCGCGTGCGGGCGGCAAGTGGGGTTTGGGGATTGGATTTGGTGGCTGTTCTGCTGATTCGTCGCGATTGCCGCGTCGTGAAGCGAGGCATCAGGGCGCACGGCGCGAGGACCGGCGGCTTCGGCTGATCGCGCCACCCCGGGCCACCCCCAGGCAGTGCCGCCAGAGCTCAGCAAATGCCACCGGGGCGGCGCAAACGCCGCGGCACGGCAGCGCTGTGCGGTACGCGCGCTCACCTCGGGCAGGGCGGCGCGCGCGGCCTCGAATGGCTCCCTGCGGCGGCGGGGCGATTTGGGGGTTGTCGGTCTGCCCTTGAATCTTTGCTCTGCAGAGTCACTTTGCAAAGGCTCTGTAGCCCAAACATGCAGCAGTCTCAATCCAACTGCACCGCACGGATGCCCCCGACCCTGGAAAAGCGGGTTCCAAGGGTCAAGGCCACCCCCACCGCAAACCCCAGCCCCCCCCACCTGCAGCCAGGGTTGATTTCGACGCACCGCACCGACGCCGCCCGCCCCGCCGCCGCAAGCGCGAGGCCGATGGCGCCCGCTCCGGCGTAAAGCTCCGCCACGCGCGCCCCCCGGTCGGGCAGTGCGGCGGCGATGGCCGCGAGCGCGCGCTGCATCGCGCCGAAGTTGGCCTGGCGGGTTTAGTTTGGGGCGGGGGGTGTTGGTTGGTTTGCAGGTGGGCAGGTGGGGAGGTGCAGACGCAGGGGGGTAACCCGTGCGTCGTCGTGCGCCCGGGGGTGGCGGCAGGTTTGGGGGGCTTTGGGTTTTTTTTTGGGAGAGGCAGCAGGGCAGCAAAGGTCGGCACAGCAAACTCACGCACATCCCTTCACAGTTCACAAGCCCCAAAACCCCAAGCGCAAAACCCTCCCCAGGCCCGCAAGCAGCCAGGCCCCCACCTGCACAAAGCCCGCGGGCCCCACCGCCGCCGCCCCACCGCCAAAGTCCTGCCAGCCGTGCGGGGGCCCGTGCAGCCACCGCCACTCGGGCCCGAAAACGGCGTTGCGGCGAGGCGCCCCCCTTGGGCCGCACCGCCGACGCTGCACTGCCCAGCCGCGGCCTCACGCCGCGGCCGGTCATCGATGGCGCCACCTCCACCACGGCAGCCCATCCCTTGGCGCCGCCGCCGCCGCCGCTGCCGCTGCTGCTGGCCCTGCTGCTGCTCCCGTCGCCGCCGCTGCCGCTGCCGCTGCCGCCGCAGCCCCTTGCCGTCACCCGCGGATGGGCCGCAAAGGCGGCGCGGGCGGTGGCGGCGGGGTGGTCTGGCCCCGCCGCGTTCCACGCCAACACCGGCTGCAAGCGGGGCGGGCGGGCAGGCGTGGCTTCCCTTTGACGTTGCACCGACATCACCAGGGGTGAGCGTGCGCCGTGCGCCCGCGCCCGACCAGTCTCTGTTCAACGAAAAAAGGCCAAGAGTGCCACACGCCGGCTGCAATGGCACCGCGGCCAAAAACCCCGCTCACCTGCATCTGGGCGTGTGGGCCCTCCTCGGCGCGCACCTTCACCGGGGGCGGCCCGCAGCGCCGGGAACTGGGCGTAGCGCTGCAGACCCCTGGGGGAGCGGTCAGAAGAGGGGGCCAGCCGCGCGGCCGCGAGCGCGGAGCGCAGCAGCGCGGCGGCGGCCTCGTCACTGCATGGGTGGTGCGTCCTGCGCGGCCGGACTGCGCACGCGGGTGTTGGTTTTGGGGTTGGGGCGGGCAGCAGCTGCGCATGCGGGGTTTTGGTTTTGGGGGGGTTTCGGGGGTTTTGGGGTTTTGGGGCGGGTGTGGGGGCGGGCGACCGCTGGGGTCGAGCGGCGTGGGTTTTGTGATGGAGCCACCTGTTAAAGGCGGCCGCATCGCGGATCAAAGGACTTCTGGAAGCATTTGCCCCGGGCCCCCACCTGCTGCAGTCCGGGACGCCGACCGCTTCGTGGCTGCCCATACGGAACAGCCCCGCCACCGGCGCGCGCGCTTGTCCGCGAACCGCCAGCTCGGCGCAGCAGCTCCACCCGTGCCCGCGGTCACGGGGAAGCCGGCGGGGCAGCCGGGGGACGAAAAGAAGGCGGCCGCGCGTGCCGCCAGCGGCGGCGCGTCGAGGCCTGTGTTTAGGTGCAGCCCGGGCACGCGCCAAAGTGGGGGCAGCCCAGCTCGTCGGCCGGCCCGGCCAGGGGGCGGCGGCGGCTGGCGATTGGGCCGCCCGCGGTCCGGGCCGCCGCCGCGGCGGCGGCGGCGCCGCCGGGGCGGCGCCGCCGCCGGTCGCGCCGCTCCGCCTGCCGCGCCGGCGTGGCTGCTCCTGCTGTAGTCCAGCTGCTGCATGCCGCCGCCGCGAGGGTTTTTGCCAGCCCGCCGCGGGGCGCGCACGGCGCGGCGCCGCCACCGGGCCGCTGCTGCGGGCTCGCCGCGCTCGCGGCCGCCAACACCGCGCGCGGCGCCGCTCGAACCGCGGGCAGGCGGGGTGGCGCCAACCCAGCAATTCGATTCAGCTAGATCGTGGCGCCATTTGTGCGTGCGCTGGCACCGCCACACGGCCGCTGCGCAAGGTCAGATCGGTTTTCCCGGCGCGACGGCCCGCTTTCTTGGCCGTAGCTGAGCGCAATGGGGCCTTACGAGCTGTTGGGATAAGCTATGACCGGCCGCTGCCTCGGCAAACGTGGGGGCAGCGGCGGGCTCGGCGCCGCGCGCCGCCCGGTCATCAGGCGGCCCCCCGTCGTCAGCTGCTCTTCAACGTGCCCAGTGCTGGCAGGAACTAAACAACCCCTGGCGCACTGCGCCGCGGACCCCCAACCCCCCCGCCACGCAGGCGGCACCCGGCCCCCCGCTGATTGTTGCCCCCACGCCACAGCCAGGGGGCTCTATGTAAACATACAGATGCCAGACCGCCCCGCCCTGACCCGCGCCTTGCCCGTGCGGCCACAGCCCATCGCCGCTCGCACCCCGTCGCCCGCGCGCTCGCAACGCCCGCCGCCCACGACACGCGCGCGCGCGCAAGCGTAGTTCCCAGCAGCGCAGCCGGCCGTCCGCGCACCAAGACAGTACCGCCGTTGCTGCGTCGCATTCCACCGCAAAGAAGAGGGGGGTGGTTCTCGGCGACCTTGAGCGGCCCGCGCGTCAGGGAGCGCCGACGGTGAAGAACGGCGGCTTGTTCTGCCAGCAGGGCACGGTGGCGATCCGCCGGTTTTGCAAGGCCGCGCCCGACGGACCCTGTCGGGCCAAATAAACTTGGACGTGAGGGAAGTAGGCACCAATAACTCGCCGTAGCTCATCTGGTAGAGCGCATGGCTGATTTCAAGAACGAAAGCGGAAAAGGAGGGTCAACTGCGGTTTGACCGGTGCACGCGCGCGCGCGCGCGCAGCGGGGCGGGGCGCGCGCGGCGAGCGGCGCGCGCCCCTGCCCGGCAGCCGTGCGGGCGGCCGGGGCTGTAAGAGGCTCGCGAAAAGATGAACCAAATCAATAGCTTCGGTATGCGGGCCGTCCCATCGCCGGCCGGCGAGCCGTGCAGTGCAAGCCGGCGGGCTAGCGGGCTGCTCGCGGGGCAGCTGCCTGCGCTCCTCCACGGCACGAATGGCAGCGCAATCGCACAAACACGTGTATCTCGAAGCGCCAGAAGCTCCAGCCAGCCAGTGATCGTGCACTGCACCGCGCACGCGAGCGCCGCGAGCGCCGCTGCTGCGGAGCAGCCCGCACCCTGCTTGCTGACGGGCCCGCCGCCCACAGGCATGGCCTGGCGCAAAGCGGCTGATGCTCAGGCAAGGCGGGGCCAGGCCGAGCCCCGAGCTCCAGCCCAGGGCCAGGAACGGCGGTGTCCGCATTGCCGCCAACGGCGGTGGGCGAGCGCGTGCGCGCGCGCGCACGCTGTTGATGGGCGGCGCCGCGTGGCCCACCAGCCACCGCCTCTGCTTCCAAGCTGCGTTGGGTTCAAAGCCCGGCGCACGACAGCGAAAGGCGTGCGGGCCCTGATCGACGGCTTCGCAGGCCCGGCCCTAGGCGGCCGCCACCACCCTGCAGCTCGCCGACGGCGACCTTGCCGCTGCCGACCTTGCGATGCTCTTCTGCCCGCAGCGCCGACCTTTGAAGGTGCTGGCAGCGGCGGAGTTTGAGCGCACGCTGCAGGGCGTCGGCGTTGCGGCTTTGGTCACGGCGCTGACGCCCCGCCAGCGGCTCGCTGCGCGCCGCCCGACCCGCCTCGCGGCCTATTGGGAGGCGCTGGCGGTGGTGCAACCAATGCGCCTTCTGCAGCCGGCCGAGATGGCACAGCAGCAGGAGGGGCTTGAGCCGCTTGCAGGCGACGCGTGCGTCGCGCGCGCCGCAGGTGGGGGGCGGCGCTGATGTGAACGTAGGCAGCTATAGTGTGGGGCGCCGGACGCAGCGTGCGCGACACGCGGCCGGACGGCTCCGGGTCCAAATGCAGACCCTCACCCAGCTGGCGCCACCAACAGAGTGGGAGGTCAACGCCGATGGCCCGCGGGCCCGCCGCCACCGACGCGGGCGCGCATTGCAGCCTCCGAGTCGCAGCTGACGCCTGGCTGTTTGAGGCCACGGCAGCCGAGGCCAACCTGCCAACCTCTTTACTGCTGTGTTGTTTGCACGCCCCCCGTCCGCGGCCGCCCGCCTTCAACCAAGGGACGGCAGGGGGGGGGCGCATGAACAGGAGTATCGCTTGGGGGGCGGCGCGTGGGGCCGTGCCGCGGGGGCGGGAAGGAGGCGGCGGCGGCGGCGCCATTCGCGGCGGCGGCGCCATTCGCGGCGGCGGCGCACGCGCGGACCTGGGGCGGCGCCAGCAACAGTGGCAGCGCGGCGGGCGAGGAGCCGGCTCGGCTGGACCCCGGCTGGGTGGCGGCTGCGGCTGCTGCCGGCGGCACGCGTGCATCAGCGGCGCAAGGCAGAAAGGGCAGCGAGCACGGCGGCGGCGGCGGCGGCCGCGCCGGCGCGGCTGGCGGCTGACGCTGATGATTGCGCTGACGCCCTTCGCAAGCGGCCGCCCTCCCAGAAGGCGTGGTGCCAGGAGTGGGGGCGCGTCCATGACAAGCGCCTGCCGCGGCCGGTGCGCGCCTTTGCGCGGCTGCTGGCGCACGCGGCGCTGCCGTGCGGCGGCGGCGCCAAGGTGGCGCCCTTCCCTGCGGATGACGAGGGCCTCGCCGTGCGCGTCTGTTGCTGCAGCAACGCGGCCTGCCGCGCGCCGCCGCCGCCGGCGTCGGACGGCGCCAGCGGTAGTGGGAGCGGCGGGCCGGCGGGGTGGCGCCTCGAAACGCTGCCACACGCCTTCCTTGAGTGCCCTGCGGCGCGGCCGGCGCTGGCGTGGCTCGCGCTGGCCTGGCGGGGCGGCCCCGTTGTTGACTACTGGTTGCCAGCTGGTACTAGGTGTTGCTCTACGGCAGCCCAGCAGCGGCCGGCCTGGCAGCCGGCCAGGGACCGGTTGCTCAAGCAAAACATGTTCTTCTAAAACAGCGAGCCGCCGCTGAGCGCTCAAGCAGTGCGGCCTTCCAGCGGGCGGGGGCGGGGAGGTAAAAGATAAAATCTCGCCGCCTGGGATCGAACCAGGGACCTCAAGGTTTCCGCAATCAACACTTACAGCCTTGCGCTACTACCAACTGAGCTACGGCGAGTTATTGGTGCCTACTTCCCCCACGTCCAAATTTAGGATGCCCGACAGGGTCCGTCGGGCGCGCCCCGTCGGCGCGGATATCGTGGTGGCAGTGGGCACCCGGGTGGGCGCGGCGCGCCGCCTGGCAGTGGAGATGGAGATTCAGCAGATTACGCAACAGCAGGCGCGCATGCGCGGCGACGACGAACACGGCGCCGGCTGGGAGTGCTGGTGGAGTTTGGCGCCGGCGAGCGGCCGCGGTCTTGACCGCGGTGGCGCCGGCGCGCACGACGGAGCGGAGGGACGTGGCGCAAACGGCGACGGCGCTGACGCCGACGGCGGCGGTGCGAGCGCTGCCCCCAGCCCCGCGGCCGGCGTACTCATCATGGTACGCCGTTCGTTGGTGGCCAGGGGCGTCGTGCGCGTCGACGCCCGCGGCGTTAAGTCGTCCCCGGACGGCCGCCTCCTCAGCCTGCCCCTTGACTGGGGCGGGCGCCGCCTGCAGCTGGTGGGCGCATACCTCCCAGCGGAGGGGGGGGAGGTGGCCGCGGCCTACGTCCGCGACCGCCTGCACCCCCTCTGGGCAGAGCAAGGTGGGGCGGGGCCGGCCGGGACCGACGGGGGCAGCGCCGGCGCGGGGGGCGACGAGGACGACGACGGCAGCGGCAGCGGCAGCGGCAGCGGCAGAGGAAGGGGCAGCGGCAGCGGCAGAGGAAGGGGCAGCGGCGGCCGAGGCGGCCGCGGCGGCGGCGGCGGCGGCGGCGGCGGCAGCAACGGCGGCCCGGCGACACACCGCCGCCGGCACCTGGTACTGGCGGGGGATTTCAATTTTGTCCCCTGCCGCGACCTGGACCGCTTCTCTGCGCGCCTTGGCGCGGGGCCGTCTGCGTCCGCGTCGGCGCGCGACGCGGCGCCTGCCGCCGCGATGCAGCGCGGCGGTGCGGGCCTGGTGGATATTTGGCGCGACCGCCACCCGCGGCGCAGGCAGTACACGTACCTGCACTCGCGGCGGCAGTCACGCATCGACAGAATCTACGTAGCCGGGGAGCTGGCCCCCAGCGTTGTGCAGTGCTACATCGATTGCCGCACCGGCGGGTCAGACCACAGCCTCATCAGCGCCACCCTCGTGGCCGCCGCCGCCGCAGAGGTCGGCCCGGGCGTGCGGCGCACGCGGATGAATTTCGCGCACGACGCCGCCACCGAGGCCGAGTTCAGGGAGTGGCTGGAGCCGGAGCTGGACGCGCGACCGAGCGACAAGGCGCAGCTGCTGGCGTGGTGGCCGCGCTTCAAGGCCGACGCGGCGCTGCGCGCGCGCGCCCTCAACAGCCGCTTGCGCGGCGAGGCGCGCCTGGCCGCCCGCGGCACACGGCGGCANGCCTCCAACACGGCGTGACGGCGCGCCCCCAAAGCGCACACAGCAGAAGCAAGAATCGAGGGGCGGCTTAGGCCCATGCCGCAGGGGCCGGTAAGTGAACACAGCGCCGCCCCGCGCCATTGGCAGCGGCAAAACTGTGCAGCTGCCGGGTGCACCCGCAGGGAGCAGCCCTGGCCCCCGGGCCAGGGCGGCACAACAGCAAACTACATACGCAATGAAAGCGCGCTATCCGGGGCGGCCGATGATGATTTGTTACTCCGCCTGCGGCATCGCAGGATCCTGCAGTCACCGTGTTCCAAGGAAAACGAGCAGTCAACCGCCGCATGGCAGGCGGCCACTTGTTGATGATTTGTTACTCCGCCTGCAGGCGGCCATTTGATTTGATTTGATGGTTACTCCGCCCACGGCATCGTGGGATCCTATACCGGGCCGCCTTTTTCAACCTCCCGCCCGCCGCCCGGTCCGGCGGTGCGTCGGGTGCACAAGCAAGCATCACCGCA